GTAAAGCGTCCCTCAGACACTCTTTTTTTGTCTTTCCTGGGGGAGAAAAGCTTTTTTTTCCCTCCTAGGACTTATTGATGACCGATTCTGTGGGGTAGCCTTCAAAAACACGCCGACGATGAAAATGTAAAACTTCACAGCTGGCTTGAAACAAACCCTGTCTCTTTTTCTTGCCAACTTTTGATGTTTCTGGCTTTTTCCCTTTTTTTCTGCTTTAAGTATCACCGAGGAGGGAGGGTATTTACCGAGGAGATTATCTATGTAGGAGCTCAGACAATCTCCAGCGCTCTGAAAGCACAATAGACCACCACATTACAGAACATGTCAGTTCTCTCCAAGCCTGCTATTTGAAAACAATAAAACTATCAGGTACTTGTGAGTTAATTTTGTGTCTTGCAAATGCTTGAAACCAGCTCCTCACTGTGCAGCCAAGGGTTTCAAAACTATTTTCAGTCTTTGTGCAGCAGAATAATTTATTCTCTGCCCTGTTTTTACAAAAGTATTTCAGGCATGCAACATGGCATCTGTCATTAATGAATTAATTAAAATACTTGCATTTGGTCAAGTAATGCATATTGCCTAATGCCTTTTTAGTTTTAGATGAAGATAATCTTAAAAGGAAAAATGATGGTGTTGGATGGTGCTGTGAATTACTCTCAGCTACTACCACATCCAATAATCCGTCTATCCATTTATCAATCTATTACCTGCTTCTTCCTTTGAGGGTCATTGGTGCCCATATCCAGCAGTCACTGTGCGAGGGGCGAGATACACCCTGGACAGGTCACAGGTCCATCACAGACATCAAATAATTGCATCAATATTACATTAAATAACTAGAAGCACTTGGAGAGTGCAAACCTTCGTCCTGCAATAGAGTTAATGCGCAAAAGGAGAGATGGAAACACATTTGCCAAATAAGTTCTGACGTAGCGAACATTTAAGCAGGCAGTATGCACGGGATTTCTTCCTGGTGGAGTCCAATGCAAAAAAAAAAGTCAGACTCGTCAGCCGAGGTTATTCATCCACAAACTGGTCCCGGATTAAGCTACWAAATTTTCAGCAGCAGGACCCTCCTCCCGCTGTGGGTGTCTTCTGTTATTCCCATAACGTGAAGGATTTCTTTTTCTACGTTTCCAGACAGCATGCAACATCACCAAAACTAGTTGATTACAGAATAATCACAACTTTCCTGATAGTAGACATCCTGGGATGTGTAGTCCCAGCGAGTGTGTGACTTCTACATCCTGTTTCCTACAGGCATGCGTCTGACATAATGACACTTTGCATAGCCTGGCTGATTCGCTCAAATTAAAAGAAAAATTCCTGTATCCGCATCGTGATCTGGAACATCACCAAAATTTAATGATGTGTTCCTTTTGTCAATACCCACAAGTAGTAAAAATGTCATGACAATCTGTCCACAAGTTTTTGAGTAATTTTGTCCACAGACAGACAGACAGACAGATATACGCGACCGAAAACATTACCTCCTCCCTTGGTGGAGGTAATAAATATCTGTGGTAGCCATCTTGATTTGGGGTAACAAATCATTAGGCAGCTGCAGATGTACATCCAATCATAACTTTGAGAATTCATTGGATTTCATCCAGTGGGTCACAGGATATTTTGCTAACAGAATTGACTCTAAAAATTAATGCTAAACTTTTAAGCAAATGGCCATACCACCCTGAACATGCCAGGTCTTGTCTTATCTTGGAASCTAAGCAGGGCCGGGCCTGGTTAGTAATATGGGAATACCAGGTGGTATGAAAACCAATGTAGGAGTTGCACCCACATTGGTCAGTAGCAATAGAAAACCTTTGACCACAGGTCACAGATCGCCTTCTTGGCAGATGGATCAGTGGTTAGCGCTGTCGCCTCACAGCAAGAAGGTTCGATCCCTGGTTGGGACCTGGGGTCTTTCTGTGTGGAGTTTGCATGTTCTTCTGTGCTTGCATGGCTTTCTCCGGGTACTCCGGTTTCCCCCACACCCCAAAAATATGTACAATAGGTCGTCTTCAGGCCCAGGCCACCCTTGCAAAAGGGATCTGCAATCTCATTGGGATTTGTCTGGTTAAATAACAGTAAAAATAAAAGGATGTCAAGTAGTTTAAGCAAAGATCTTGCACAATGTGTAGTCCATGGAGAATGTGTTAGAAATCATACATGTCAACCCCCTCGGATGTTTACCTGTATAATGAGCCTCAAACATCCGTATTATTTGTAAAAAATCTGTAGCACTCGCACCCGCGCAGAGAGGAAAGAAGTGCAGAACTTATTTCAAGTCTTATTTCTAGCTGCAGAACAAATTGGAAGATGGTTATTTGATGGTTTTTTTGATGTCCTACAGGTTCTGACATATAATAAGAAATAGACACCAAATTTTTGCACAGTATTTGAAAGAAAAAGAAATTATTTTCTGTTTTTAAAGCCAGTTGGCCATGGCAACTATCTTAAATGAGGTTGACTCCAAAAAAGCTAATCRGTTGTTGCTAGTTTTATCAAAATTCATCTAGCGGTTTTGTTGGACTCACAAGCGCAACTAAATTATCATTTTCTGTTCATGACAACAGGCAATATATGTTTATTTTCTCTATTAGAGGCTGTTTGTATTGCAGCACCTTTAAATCCTGTGTTCTGTTAAATACAATTCGTTTTTAGCACTGCCAGTCATGYCAGAACAAAACAGTGCCTTTGGGTGTTTTCTGACAGGACTAAAACACGAGCACGGGACAAAAGCATAACGAGTAGTTAGTGAAGAAAGACCAAACGAACCTCACTCAACTCGTCTGAACATCGTTTCAATTAAAACAAACCTMGGCGAACTTCTAACAACTGTTAGTGCTCAAAGTTTCTTTGTTGGCTGAGCCACTTTCAGAACCTTCTTCCCTCGTAAATCCATTTGATCAATCGGTGATGCATGTAATGTGAGCCAAGCAATAGTGCTAGAGGGGAATTTCATTTAAGTCTGTCACACCAAGCAACGATTGGAATGAGGCGACCAATTCTCTGTGCAATTAATCCACTGTTTTATACCAGGATGATGAAGAGGAGAGGAAAGAAAGGAGGAATATACCAAATTTCAGCAGTTCGACTTTGGCCTTTTCCACATGGGAATGTTGTTTTTTTTCCAAATAATAATTCCTCATAAAATATTTATAAAAAAATATTGGCAACAGAATTCACGAGGAAGTCTCCAGCCTTAAAATGTTTGCTGAGGCAAATGTCCAGGTCTAAAATGCAAACTCATATTAAAAATAGTTACTCAAAACCTGGTCCAAATCTGTCTATTTTTATTTCAAACTTCCATTTTGGTCAATTAAAGCTGCCAAAATCATAAAAATGATTAGCAGCATGATAGCTTAGTGGTTAGCACTGATGCCTCACAGCTTAAAGGTCCTGGGTTCGATCCCCATTTCTAACCTGGGGTCTTTCTGTGTGAAGTTAACATGAGTTTCCTCCCACAGACCATAAACAGACATCAGGTTGCCTCCTTGTGATTTTGATGGGATTTGCCAGTTTAAATAAAGGTTATTAAAGATATATTTAAAATTTTGTGGATGCAGGGCTGAAACAAACAAAACCTTTTACTTATTCATGTGTGGATGAGGCTTTGGACTCAGAGCTCAGGTCCAATCAAATGCAAAGCAGAGACTTTGCACACAGGTCATCTTTAATTTGCCCCAGGCTTTGGAGGGATTACCCAATCCTGCTCTCTTTCAGGAGGAGACATCTTGGATAGAGGCTTGAGTGRCTCTCCTCTTTTCTTGATTCTTCAGCACCAGCCAAGCGCAGGATGAAATAAAAGAGGCGGGGGGAGATTACGTGTGCCGATGGCACGGAGCATCTTTAAAAAGCATCTGTGTCCCAGCGAGATGCCACAAAAGACGAGCTCCGCATGAATCCTCGTCGCTCTCCGTGGGGGGCTCCCCCGCTTTCTTCTCTCTCTCTCTCTCTCTCTCGCTTCTTTGTTCCGGAGTTGTGTGCTTCCCTGCACTCCTCCCCACTCGACAGATTCAGCCTTATTCTCATCTTCCAGTCAGATTTATATCACCAGCTCTGCATTCATCCTGCTCCGTCTCTCCTTTGTGTCCCTCCTCCTCAGCATAGTCTTTGGCTTTCCAAGGTGTAAATGGCAAATATTAAGGTTTGTCTAAGCATCAAAGAAGTCTTGCTGTTAGCACCAAGAAATTAAGTCATCATTGTATTAGTGTTTGCATGGTAACAGTGGTTCACAAAGAGGTTAGCTTAGCAGATGGGACTCAARTGGAAAGAAAGAATGAACAATAATTAAAGGACTGAAAAAAATGAATAGAAATGTGTGGGAAAGGTTTATATKTTTATACCTGAGTGCTACTTTTGTTAGCAAAGTCCCACAATATTGCACAAGATGCACATCATTTTTAGGATTTGACCAAAACAGCAATRAAGCTGTCATTTTCTCATCATTTYATKTTAACACTCAGGAAGCAATAAAGATAAATGACTTCAACAAATGCTATGTTTTTAACAAGAATTTGTATTTTACAATATTTTAGGATCTATTTATTGTAACTGTGTTATAAAAATGACTATTTTGAGAGAAGCCCTGATGAGTTTTTATTTTAAACTCACACGAGGTTTTGCAGAAACCCCTCAAAAAACGCGGAAAAGCCTAAATATCACACAAGCATGAAGTCTGAAAAATGGATTTAGACATTGGAGCATATTAATGCAAACTCCCTCCCCCTTGAGTCTCAGCCTACAGCGCTGATAGCCAAACCCAGAGGTTCTCCACTGTTTGAGGCTCCGTGATGCCAGAAATTCCAGCCTGTTTCACTGTGACAGCTTTAAGTTGTGAAAGCTGTCAGCAAAGTGTGATAACCAACTCAAGAGTTTGTTGAAAGCAGGCGGAGCTTCGGTTCGCTGTCAGCGATACGAGCCGACAGATCAAATAAGGATTCACGAGGAGAAACAGGCTGAGTCGGGCTGAGGAACGAGAGTGATTTTACACTCACCTGGATCAGTGTCAGGTCCTCCAAGTTGAGCCTGAAGAGGTGATTTCTGTGGGAGGAAATAAATAAAAACAGGTAAGTGAATGGAGAAATACTTCTCAAGATGAGAAAAAAAAGTTCATGCAGATTCTTTGCACGTCATTAGCATCATTCAGTAGTACAAATGAGCTGAACATAAAGTCCAGAGAAAAAGTCCAGGAAAAATAACATCTTACCTGTTGCAGATAAGTTTTTTTAAGCCTCAGTTTAAAAAGATGTGTTAAGAGTTTATCACATTTGTAATTCTGTTTATAATTCAGCTCTTTCTTGTGTTWTTTAGAGATTCACTCATGCTCATTTCTTCAGTGTTTCCCTCTGTTGTTTCAGTTCTCAGTTCACACCTGACCTGCGTTTGCTATTTAAACACAGCTGTTTCAACTCAGTAACCCCCCCCCCAACCCCCTTATATTCCTCTATGAGATCATACTGTTTCTGGTTTTCATATCCTGCTCACCTACCTGTTGACTTTTTACACTTTGTTTCTGTGTTATTTTATGTTTTTTTTTTGGTGCTTCAATAACCTCCTGTTTTATTTATTCAAGTTTTAGTTAGATTTTTTTTAAATTGGAGTTCAGTTTTAGTTAGCAGCAATCCATTGTGTTCATGTAGCTCATCATTCAAGTCAAACTTAAACTCTTTCTCCAAGCGGAGGCTATTTAAAGAGTATCTGCAACAGATGAGATATTTATCATTCATAAACATCAAACAGTTTGAACTATCCCCTAAAAAAAGAGATCTGACAACCACTAGTCTTTCTAAAACAATATTCATGTTTGTTTGTTTTTACACTGGTATTCATCAGAGGAACCTCAGGCTATTCCTTACTTTTTCACTTGTGTAGTGACRTTTCACAAAAACAACAACCACTGTTGTCTACAAAATAAAATAATTTGAAAACTTCTGCAATCTCTTATATTAGTTAATACAAGTCTTATATCAGGTCATAGGAGGAGCCTTTAAAATCCTGAAACTTTCTAAACTCATTAGTGGCTGGAGCTCATTGCTGAAGTAAATGATGAATGAGTAGATTTAGCAGAAGTCTAATTAGGACAACCACCATGACTAGATAAAGCATAGCCTCGTTTTTGATGCAGGTTTAGTTAGAAACTGAAAGACAATTACACCCTGGCAGCTTATGAATGCAACATGTGCACCAGATAATATGGTGTGCCTACAAGAATGTTTCCTGTGCGCACCTATTTTAAATGTATYATTTTTTCACCAACGTCCTCTTTGAAGCATTGTAAACGTTTATGACCTACTGATGAATAATAATATGAACAGCCCGWATATATTTGATGGTTTGTTTGATCAAAAACAAGCAAGTTTTTAGTGCAATCTCAAATCTATTTTTTTCCCAATATGATCCATCATAGAAAACATTTTTTAATTTGTAGAAAAAGCCCTGAGCAGAACTCTCAGCAGAAGAGAGGACAAGAAAGCCATCATTCATGTTAGCATTTATTGCTTTTTATAGGTATTTTATTCCAGAGTTAAAATTATCTTCACCAATACACCTGCGCACAAACACACACCTACACACGCACATATAGGTTTAAAACTCAGTTTGCAGAGATCAGTCTCCTGRAGAGTGGCTATCAGACAGGTCTGAATATGGCCACAGCCTCCTGTTTTACTGTATTGATATTTACATCGATCCCGCTTTCCTTCCATTATCTCTCATACTTCTGACTCAGACTGCTGCCATCAATCTATTCACATTACCTTTCAGTGTCAGACACTTAGCAGCTGTTGAGCTGCCGCTAACTATTTAACTAAAACTCTTTTTTTCTCTTCTTTGATCACAGCAAGAATGTGTTGACACAGCAGTTTATTATATTATATTATATTACACTGCCTGGTCAAAGAAAAAAAGTCTCCTCCAAAAAAAAAAGGTCACACACTAATATTTCATTGGATCGCCTTTAGCTTTGATTACGGCTTAGTTTTCTCTGCTTGATGCCAATGATTTGATGCTTCTCAAACAGATCGACATATTTTCCATGACCACAGAATGTGTCTTTCAACATGGTTGTTTGAGAAATGAGAAGCAACTCATTGCACCAGTTGGGGTTAAATAACTTTTTTGCCAGCTGATGGATAATCACCCTGGTAAAAATGATCCAATAGGAGGCTAGTACCTACAGTATTTGCTTAGTTAAAMCAGGAGCCAACCTTTTTTTTTTTTGACCAGGCAGTGTATTATATCATATTTTCTTATATTAAATTAGGGGTGCACCAATTGCAGTTTTCTGGCCAATTACTGATCTTTCAAAAAGCCTCACCTACCAATGCCAATTTTGGCAAATACCAATTTTTGTTTATAACTGACACTGTCACATGTTATAAGGTCACAATACACCTTTGATGTTCCAATCTTACTTTACTGAAAAACGTTGAACAATACCCTCAAAACAACACAAACGTGTTTCAACTTGACATTAGGTAGTGCACACACAAGTGGCTGATTTTCAGACATTTGCAGGGGTAGATAAAATCAGAGGATAAGATTTGCTTCTCATGCAAGTATTAGATTTTTTTGTATTGCATTATTGCCTGCTGCCAAAGGTAAAAGACAATGTTTTTTGCTCATGTATTTGAGCATTTGTTTGTACATTAAATATTTCATAAATCACTCAACAGATTTGGTCCAAACTTTTAGAATATAATGGTTTGGCTGAAACTGACAACTGTTTAAATTTTAAAGTCAACCAGGATAGTCATTACAGTAATGATTTTAGTAAATGCAAAAATAATGACTATAGATCAGCCAGTTTTACATATCTTGAGCCAAGATTGGATTTGGCAGTAGCTGATGGTCAATCACAGCACAAAGACCACCCGAAATAATGTTTGTTTTCTAAATGGTTATAACGCTGTCCTTTTTCAACATAAAATGATCACCCTGGAATAAAAGGCTGAGAGCTATATACATTCCTTCAATCAATGCTAGGTCWTTAACTTGCATTTCCGAGTTTACCTGCATGTTTTCTATCTTCCGAGACCTTTTATTTGTCCATTTACACAGTTTTACAGATGAGATTTTTCTATTTCACTTCTGGCACGTGTTAGAAAAACCTCCCTRTGCTCACTTTCCTTTCTCGCCCTGTTTTTTCTGCTCCCACACCAGATGGTTTTTCTGCTGTCTCTTGTACATCACGTTGTGATTGCTTCTCTCTACTGACACCTAGAATCATTAAACTGAGTCCAGCTCAGCTGCACACACACCATCACTGCATACATCTGTGCTCAGAGACAAACTTTGTCACTTTTATTTTTTAATACAGTTCAGACATTTATTTAGATATTATTTTCCTCTTCTTTTCTGTTAAGGCCATTGGCAAAATGAAGTTAAATAATATGTGAGTGCCTTTAACTGATTTATTCAATATTTGATTTATTTAACCATTCCAAAGTTTGTACCAAACTGTCAATACAATAACACATTTGACTTCAAACTTCCATATATATTTTTTTAATTTAACAAATATATCACATTTAGTTTTATCTCCATTTGGACTAGGCATTAGTTTAAAAATTAAACTCAAAAACTCTTTCTCCAATCCTAAGCCTATCCAATCTACAACAGGTAAGATATTGTTTATAACCTTTCTACAAAACCCCACTTCTAAAATTCTGAACCAATTCTTCCCCMCTGACACCTTGAGTACATTTTACCATGAGATTTACCAATCTGCATTGTGAGGAACATGATGTTTTTCCATAAAATGCAGGGGAATCTGAACATCACAACACAAACAATACAAGTGTTCACACACAAACACACGCTGTGATGCATTTGGCTGGGCTTCAAAAAGACAATGGACCTTGCTCTCCAAAGCCATTTTTCTTTGGCCTCTGAAGACAACACAGAGAAACTGATCATTAGTCATGCGTGGCCACAACTAAAGCAGTGAGCAAAAGAATAAAAGATAAAAATMGTATAATAAAGAAGCAACAAAAAAAGAAAAGAGAGAAAACCAGAAGGAATTAAATGAGAGGATTTTAAAAAAAATGCTGATTTTGGATTACCTGGCACCGACGATCAGTTCGTTCTGACCAGGGTCAAAGGTCAACTGTGAGTAATCCACTGTGCCGTCTGCTTTGAACCTGAACATCCACGGCTCCATTTCTGCCAAGAAACACCAGAGAACAGAACAACAGTGAGTCAATCAGAGCATTTATTACCAAAGCATAGGGAGTTTCAATTTAGTCTACACCATGTGTTTGAATGAGTTTTGTTTTTACATATAGTTCATTTTATTTGCAAATCCATTTGGTTACTTTAAGTGTGATAGAACAGATCAACAAACTGCACATCTGTAATGTTTGGACTCCAGTCAAATCAAACTTGGTTATTTTTGAGCAAAATACTGTATAATCTTAGTCTTATACTCTGGGATGAGAAGCGGAGGGCGGGTGGCCAATACCTCCAAAAACKGTTATGCATAAAGCACATGCAAAGCAATCCAACTGATTACAAACTACATAACAAAACACTTTACATTTAGAAAGAAAGATTTGATTGATTTTTAAATTTAAAAACAGATATTTTTAAACATATTAAAAATAGAAAAAAAATCATGGAGAATTAATTCATTTCAAATTCTTAAATCAAAGAAACTCCAATGCATTGATTAGTTTACTTAGGCATTCACGATTAACTTGAAAGAGGCCATGAAACATGAAAATCACACGGCTGATGGGAAAATCCTTTGATTTTGACACACTCCTCTTGACTGAGTGGCTTAAAAAACATCTTTTTCACAAATCAAGACTCAAATATTTTCTGGAGCCTGAGCTTGTCCCTGTGCTGCTGGGAATACATGCCATCATAAAGGAAAATGGAGATATCCCAGACGGAGACTGACATCTTATCCACAACATGCCTGTTCTCCTGGCGCCCAACCCATTAACCCCTGACCAATCAAATCCAGCGACAAGGACGGCCTGTCTACCGTCTGGTTACCCGATAGGTTCAGTCAAGGGTGGTCAAGCAGTCATCGTGGTGACTTATGTTCTCCATTACTCATCACCTACTTGATTTGTAGTCACAATAACTTTACTGTACACACAGGTTGGGTTACACATTGAGGGACCATGGCTTCTCCATAAAGAACTTTATAAAATATTTAAACTCACAAGACGCTGAATTCTTTCTTGTGGTTACATATTTACAGTATACACAAACAAAATATTTCAAAGAAACAGTTTTTTAATTTGTCAGGGAGCTTCTCCATCYGAACAGAGGGAGAGGACAGCTTGAAAATTCTCCTCGCAACACATTATCTGCTTCCTCGGGCACACCTGTCACATGGCGTTTCAAATGAAGGCACACTCTCTCGTCCTTGACCRCATCAAACGCAACAACTTCCAGTTTTGGTGACAAACGTGGGCTTTTCTGAGARGTTCAAAACCAAGACAAATCAAGGAAGAAAAAGGAAAATGTCTCTGAAGAACATCTGCCACCTCCAACWCTTGTACTGGAACCAAAACCCCACAAAACATTATTACATTCCAAGAGAAAGTGCTGCAAAATTGACATTATTTTCTGATGTTAATGCTCAAATTTCCAATTAAAGATWCAAAAAAGTAGCAGAAGCATTACAGCTAATGCTACACATGCCAGAGTTTTAAACTCAAATCATCTTGTACTGAAATATAGCTGTTTTGGTCAAACCTTGTAAATAACAATATGTGCAGTCTCATGTGAAACTCTGAGATCTTGTAAGATTTGGTAGTTCTCAGATAGCGTGCCTAGGGTGACCCTCAGCTACCACCACASCAAATCTTAGCTCAATATCTGTCAGACTGACTGAGTTATAACCATCTTTGTGTTGGTTAAGGTTGCTTAACTGTGGCAGGCATCTTGATTGGCACTGACTCTAGATATAGATCAGTTGTAAACGTGCATCCAATGATTACTTTCTGGGTGTTTCATAAAAAATCCATTCACTGGTAAATGAGATCTTACGCTAAAGCTAAAGACAAAGGAGCACACAGCGATAATTAGACATGGTGAAGAGGTCATGACCAACATCACGACTGCTGCTCGTTTCAGATGCTTTAGATGTGCAAATCCTTTGGCTCCACTGAGCTTGTTTTTATGCCCCAAAGAGGATCTTTGGCATTCGGCTGTAGACGTGACAAACCCCTCAYCCACACCCCGCCCCATGGGGAGAGGAGATGGTACTTGACAAACCCCAGCCTTTTCCCATAAATCTCCCAGCCTCACCAGGGGAGGCCTGCCATCAGGGTGATGAAGTGTGTATCTGTATGTGTGTATGTGCRTGCGTGAGTGAGAAGCACAAAGAGAGAATCTTTGTTGGTAGTTTGCAAAAGAGGGCAAAAGGTTCTAATTGACCACAACAGCCTTCAGACAATTTATGGCCTTTGTGACGAGGCCAAGGAGCCATTCATAAACATTCATAAGCAGAATTGATGGACCCTCTCAAGGCTGCGTAGCTGAATATACACAACGTCCCAAAGTCACATTCAACCAGGTTACACCAATTGGTTTAAGATGCTATGACAGACATAAAAGGATTTTGTTTTTGAGAAATGTTATTGCAAGGTGGACAATTATGTAATCATGTGTTTCTGTATGTGTGTTATCAAAATCTCATGAAACACTACACTGATTTTCTTTAAACTCTAAGAAGTTGGATTACTTTCTAAGAACAACTGATTAACGTTTGGATTAAAACCCATTCAAGATGGCTCTACAGCTAATCAGTGTTAACAAACAAACAAACAAAAAAAAAACTATCACTTGGTTTTATTGACAATGAGCTGAAATGTAATTTGGTAGCAGCTTAGAGTCCTTATCACAAATCCTAAGTGCCTGAAGATCATGCAAGATCTTTGTTTGGGGGGTGTTATGCAAAATTGTATTTTTGAACTTTATAACATGTTGCGTCATTCCCTCATCAAAAACATACCTAGTCATGCCTGTTTGAGAAATCTTTGGCTGTGTCCAAAACGGGAGGCCGGATCCTCCGAAGGCCTGAATTCGTCGGCCGCATACGTCACAGCGCCGCGACGGAGGCTGTCCAAAACCGAAGACTCCTCCGATGCGGCCGACAAATGCGTCCTTTCTTTTCCCTGAATCAAAGGACTGGTCCGATGGATCCTTCCCAGCCCAGCGTATCCCATAATGCATTGAGGCCCAACCAAAGATTTTTTATGCTAGTAATGGCGGACGAAGTGAGAGAAAATAATGTTTTAAATAAAAATATGGCAGTATAAAAATTAAAAATTTCCATCTGTTGTGTTTAATACTTTTGTCATTTGTATAGACATGTTTTTAAATACTATTTATGTCAGAAAAAAACACGAAATAAACATGCACCTGCGGCAGGTCAATTAGTTTTTCAAATGTTACCTTTAAGTTAATTTTATTGTTTTGTGGTATTAATAACACTAATATATTTAGATTTTTCTGATTTAAATTCACAGACACTTTTTTCCAGTCTTCCCAGGTTACCAAGGACCCGGCCCACCTCGACCGGGTAGGCTGGGTCCTTCGGAGGACACAGCCCACCGTTTTGGACACAGCATTTGAATCTCATGTGATTGCCATGTGGAGCCGCCTAAACACTTGTTGGTAGAAAGCTCTGCCCTGGAGCTCAGTCTGTGTTTCTTCAAGGAATTTARTGTTGTTATCTAGCATGTTGGATTATATTTTTTATAGATATGGATAACAGTTTTTTTAGTAAGTAACATAGCATCAAAACTGGTCTAAAATAACCACTTTATTGCTAGTTCAGGAAAGGAAACAGAAAAAAAGCATTCAGTTAATTAGCACACAGTACGGTTCCTTTTTAGATTTCATTGCCGCTCTGCAAGTTGCATGGATTCACATCAGCTTCATGTTAAATGTATGTGATAATCTCATCATGGCCATGAAAGTGATGACCGAATCATGGGGGATTGGCTGCTGATGGGACTAAGACGGACACATGCAGGGGTTGAGCTGAAGAATGAAATTGCAGCCAAGGTTGTGAGCCAACAAAAAACCAGCAAACACACACACACATAAATGCACCCCATCCCCCTCTTTCCTCGGCCTCAACTTATCCCCTTAAACCCTTCGACTCCCACCGCCTTATAACAAAACAGCCCATCACTCACGTAGAATTTTGTTATTCCCCGTCTGACATGGAGCACTTGACACAAAGACAAAATGACAGGGTATATAAATATTTACTCCAAGCATCAGAGGACATGCCAGTCTTTGGTCTGCCAGCCCTTGATGTTACGGCTGTGCAGTTCCACCGGACCGCCGTCAGCCGCAACATGTGAGATCAATTCAGAGACATGAATGGCTTTACMGTGTGGTGTAAATAAATGACACAAATAAGGAACCGTTTCCCTCTAAATGCTGCCTGGCAGTACCTTCAGTGAATAGGAATGTCAGCTATTTGTTCACAGAATTTAAAATCTGACTTCTGACTTAAAAAGCTTCCAACAACTCTCCATTCCATATTAAAGATTATACTKTTACGTATTTTCCTAACAGAGCTCGTCTCTCTCAGACTGCAGGTTTATTTGAGGCTCCTAGAGTTTCTAAAAGTAAAATAGGCACAACTTTGAGTTACCAAGCTCCTCGTTTGTGTAACAAACATCCATTTTCTGTCCATAAAGCGGACACCCTGTCTACTTTCTATTTTTGAGGACTTTCTTTTTTTTGATAAATCCTACTAGCTGTGTTTCCATCAAAGATTTTTATGCACATTTTGAAGTATCGCATAAGAAAAGGTGGATGGAAACGGCAAAATTCGCAAAAACTTTCTGAATTTCTCAAAAACGTTTTTTACACTCGCTGGTTTTTGGATTTTCTGAAAGAGTTCACGTGCAAAAGGGAAGATGGAAACACATTTCCCAAATAAGTTCTGACGTAATGAAAATTTACCTCACATGATTGATCAGCTGTTTCCTGCTGTCCAACAATTCTACCGGCTTCTGCTGGACCCTCCTCCTACGGTCAGCATATTCCCGGACATTCCCATACAGTGAAGAGAAATGCATTTCTTTTTCTATGTCTCCAGACAGCATGTAACATCACAAACACTAACTGATATAATAATTACAACTGTCCCAATAGTAGCAACACGTTCCTGATAACTTATC